ATTGTTAAGTAACATTAGATTAACCTGTTGTTGACAGCTAAATTGTGTGGAATAAATTGATTTGAGTGTGTTGCAAAATATGGCCGATATCGACAAAGAGCCACAGAGGGCCCATCTGATGTTACTTACGTGCCAGAACCATTCGCCCTGTGAATCTCTGTGAACATTCCTTCTGTGCATATAGTGGCAAAAATTAGCTTTCTTAGAATATTTTCCTTTCAGGTTCAATGTAGGCTATTGTAATACTGCATTATGGCCACTAGATGGCGGTGAGGAGCATAGGAAATAAATACTTCTTCAAAATGATGTAATAGCACATTATGGCCACTAGATGACACTAAAGAGCATATAAAAGAAGTACTTAATTCCTATGCTCCTCATACGCGCCATCTAGTTGCCATAAAGTTGTATTACATTACAAAGAAGTATTTATTTCCTATGCTCATCAGCGCTATCTAGTGGCCATATTGTGGTATTACATCATCTTACAATCAACCTGAAAATATTCAACCTGGCTATAATGCGAAATTACATTGTTACATTCGACCTGGAAAGAAATTATACTAATAACGTTTTATATGCTTTTGCATCTATTCACACAGAACCAATATACTGAGAGATTCACAGGGTGAATGGCTCTGTGAATTGTTAATAAATAGACCCCATAGTTTGTGCTTGAAGCTTCAGATGACTGCTATATTGTATATCTGCTCTTTCATTGTAACATCCTCCTATGCCTTTCAAACATGTCTTTAAATCATAAAGCTGATGTATGAATGTATTGCTCCGGTCCAAAATTCAAAGCTTCCTTCTGTATCCAACTGCACCTAATACAGAGGGAGAATAAGCTTTGTGTTGTGCTTCCTGATGATGATGTAGTCAAGAGGCTGAAATATGAAAGACAGCAATATATAACAATAGGCTCCTTTTGTGAACGTGCCTGAAAGTGAAATCATCGGTGTTGCTCACAGCAACCAATCACATGCTCCATTTCATTATTGCAGAGCAAGGTACAAGTTAAAGTGAAAATCTGAACAATACAGGTGATTTTTGTGCTCTGATATTTTCATATATTGTCATATTTTGGTAAAAAAAAAATGCAAAAGGGCACACAAAAGAAATGACATAATTGCTCCCAGTAAAACTCTTCAGGACCAATCCATGTAGTATCTTAGAGGGGTGCATCCCACCCTCCTGTAGGTCCCTGTTTTGCTTGATCCAGAGATCGATTCTCAGGATTCGCTTGCAGCGCCACCTGCTGGAGAAATCTGGTATTGCAGCACAACCTGGAAATGGAGCCTTGACCTCTCCAATCACATGAAACAAGTGCAGGATAGCGGCCGGGATACCCTGCTCTTTGCTATGGACCCCTCCATGATACTACATAGGAGCCCTACCCAGTCAGGAATTTGTAGCTGACTTACTAATTTGGGGTTTCCATTGTTTTTTCTCTTCCTACAGTCACATAAAGGTGAAATACACCTTTAAAATTCTTCTGCTGTGCTTAGAATGAATATATTTTATTATTTAGCCAGTTATTTGTGCATTATGCTAACTCATTGTGCCATACATTCGACTTATATTATCTGGCTGATCTCTGTATTGCTTTAGATCCCTCGCTTTGCATTGTAAGACCCTGTAATATAATACATCACAGAATATATATATATATATGAAAAGTAGTTACACGTCTGTACAATGAGAACCCTCTACGTACACTCACAATACACACAACAGAGGCCATTGTATCACCTTCCAACTACAACGTCACACGTTCCCGACTTGCCAGGTAATTCTGATTCTACAGAGACAACTTTGTAATGTTCGATGTGAAGGACACCGAGCCTACAGGTGACCGTATTCACCTCCGGTGTTTGTCTAGTGTTCATATTAAAGAAAATCTCTGGTCTACAAATGGAGGGTCAGGTTGGGATATCACTCTGGGTAACATGGACACTTTTTTTTGTGCGGGATCTTACACAGTTTTAGCGTTGACCAAGGCCAAGGCCCAAGGCACACTAGTAGTCACATGCCTGAGGAAGGCATCCTGCATGGCCCTGAAGCGTTACACTGACACAAATAGTGATGAAAGAGCTTCAATAAACGTTTGTGTTATATGATATGGAACCTCTGTGTGCTGGTGACATATTTTCTCATCTGTAAGGATAACACTTAATTATCTGGCTGTTCCCCCAGTGCCCTCCTACTTCAGGCCTGTCCCAGGAATGAGTATTATGGGAATATATATCGGGTGACACACAGGGCTGGATTTACTCTCTCTGCTGCCCCAATGCCAGGTTCCTCAATGCGCGACCCCGCCCCCTGTATGCATGCTGCATACAAGTGATCTCAGCGACCTCGCCGAGATCACTTGTACAAAACAAGCGGCGGCTTCCCCGCTGTACATTTACTCCTGCTTGCCCAAAGCAGGGCTAAATGTAGAAAACAACTACCCGCCCGATGCCCGGAACTGCATGTCCTGGGCATAGGGAGACAAGAATACCATACCCCTGCTGCCCCTCTACTCCCTGCTGCCCCTCTACTCCCTGCTGCCCCGAGGCCGGGCCTCGGTTGGCCTTGTGGGAAATCCTGTCCTGGTGACACATTGAGGCTGATTTCTGCCGCTATAGACACTAGGTGGCGCTGAGGAGCATAGGAAAGTTTTGCGCAGAAGAGTTTTAAAGCATCCCCTATGTGATCCTGCAACTCCCCAGGTCCCTGATTCATCATGTTCTAAGCACAGTGTATAGGATGTAAGGACGCCAAGGGAGTGTAGGATGAGAGAGGCCGGTGGGAGCGCTGTCACAGCTGGCTGGCTCCAAAGATCGGGTGAGTATAACTTTGTTATTTTCTTCCCTAGACCAAAACGGTTAACCCTTACAGTGTAATGCAAAGGCTAAAAAGGGAATTGTCCAGGTTTCTTTAATGCTTAGGTGTCACACCAAGGCTCCTATACGAAACTGACAACTGCCGTTGGCTGAATTCTGGGAGCCGTGCTCAGTCTGGGGCTGTATGTGATGCTGACGATCTGCCATAGAATGAGCACCAGGGGTTGGTCTATGGCAACATCTGCCTCTGGATGGGATCCCTTGTCTGGATGGGATCCCTCAATTTCCCTGTTTGGATGAGATCCCCGATTCCCCTGTTTGAATGGGATCCCTCAATTCCCCTGTCTGGATGGGATCCCCCGATTCCGCTGTCTGGATGGGATCACCTGACTCCCCTGTCTGGATGTGATCACCTGACTCCCCTGTCTGAATGTGATCACCTGATTCCCCTGTCTGGATGTGATCACCTGACTCCCCTGTCTGAATGTGATCACCTGATTCCCCTGTCTGGATGTGATCACCTGACTCCCCTGTCTGGATGTGATCACCCGACCCCCCTGTCTGGATAGATCCCCCGATTCCCCTGTCTAGATGGGATCCCACGATTCCCCTGTCTGGATGGTATCCCCTGAATCCCTTGTCTGGATGGGATCCCCTGAATCCCTTGTCTGGATGGGATCCCCCGATTACCTGTCTTGATAGGTTTCCTTTAATTGCTAACATGATATTTGCATATTAAGCTTGCTGGGATATTCTTCATATTTTGTTTCTTTAATTTCATATAATTTGTTTTGGTAAAATCATAACGAAAGAACTAACAAAAAAATAAAGCATAAGAACATTAAAAGCTGCAGTTTGCAAGTTGGCCACAAGATGGCAGCATTGGCACAAAGCACATGCAATAGCATTGGATGCAGCTCAGAATGGGGCCTCTCAGGGCCACATAAATCCTAAAAATCCATATATTCCCCATACACCCACTGCAGGTTTGTCATTTAAGAATGACTACAGGCAATTGTGATGACAGACAGATGGACAGGAAGTTAGATAAGATACATAGATGAAATATAAATGTATTTTAATAGTTAATATTTGTTTCTAGGTGCCAAGTGTGAGTACCTTGAATCCTTTGTAATGTATAATTCCCATCATACCCTGCACACAAGCTGAAATTTTAATTCAGGCTCACAGTGCTAAGGGATCTTCCAATGGGTTATATTAAAATAGTATTGCCTTTACAAAAAAAACAATGGCAGGTTAAAGGTCATGGAGGTGTTGGGTCACTGTGTAGTATGAGCATCCACGCAGCAATAACAATACTGATGGATGTGAGTGACGTATTTTATGTCTCGAAGTGTCTATTATGGCCGCTCGGATTTCCTATTCCCTCTCCCTGACCTGAGATCTCCTTTAATAAATGTGCTATTTGTATCTGTGGCAGGGCCGTCTTTAATATTGATTGGACCATGGGCAAACATTTTCTTGGGCCCCCGCACCCGCCATGCAATTTTGCCCCATGATGCAATATTGCCTGCTACATGCTGACAGCTTGCAGTGACAGCTGCAGTGCGGTCTTTCCGAGCACACTGCAGCTCGGAAAGATTGCGACAATATTGTCAGGATCCACCCCTCTACCTGATTGATAGCTGGCTCTGCCTCTGTAGATCCAGAGCCAGCTGTGGCGGCCAGTGCAGATGAAGCATTAGCACTAGTTTATGGGGTACAGAGCCCCAAAGCAATGACTGGGCCCGGGGCAGCTGCCCCTTGTGCCCTGCCTTAAAAACGGCCCTGATCTGTGGCTTTGTACTTGTGCTATTAAAGTCTTCTGCGTTGGCATAAAGGAGAAGCACACGAGTGCCGGAATGAGTCCGTCAGACTATCGTGCGCACACATATGCGTATATATCTTTATATATGTATAAAAATACTCTTTGCGGCATTTTGCTGTTTATATATTTTTTTTCTCTTGCAGAGCGTGACTCAGGCGTGACGCGGGATGTGTCCTTGATCGGAGATGATTCATTTATTATCCTGTACATCAAGCAGAGCCCAGGCCGCTTCCGCCAGTCTTTTAACGCAGGTGTGGGGTTTATGCTGGAACGTTCCAAAATCAAACTCTTTCATACTGGATAGGGGCCGGTCCCGCAAATGTCGGTTTCGATCGTTTAGGTCGCGTTTGGTTTTGTTGTTCTGTTATGTACGTCAGTAGTAGCCAGCAATACTTGTAGGGAAGAAAAAAAACACCGTATATGACTTGTGGCCACTTGTTGGCAATGGAGAGTCCGCGTGCGGCCTTTATTCGAACATCTCATAGTGACGCGTCTGTCTGACTCGAGGGACCATGTCCACTAATAGTCTGCAAAAGAAAGAAAAGGACTCTGAGCAACGAGGCTTTCTGCATTTCAGTAATGCGGAACTTCAGGCAAACAGATAAATGCACAGATGAAACATATATATCATTTACAGGAAACGTCAATGGAAGAAGAATAGAAGCCACCATTGCTGACCTCTCCTGACAATACTACTTCCCTGGCTGTCTGGTTTCAGGCTGAATGTCATGTAATACTGCATAATGCCCACTAGGTGGAGCTGATAGGTAGGTATTTCCTATGCTCCTCAGCTCCATCTAGTGCAGCGGTTCTCAACCCTTCTAGTGCTGCGACCCCTAACAGTAAAACTATTTCCGCTGCTCTTTCATCGCTGTAATTTTGCTAGCGTTAGATAGTGTCTCCCGGCCGCTTGAGAGAGAAACACTTTCTCCCAGAAAGGTTTACTCTTCTTGATCGAGCAGAGTAAACCTTTCCCTGCTCTGGTTTTTGTTTGTTTTTTTTCCTGACATCGGAGCCGCCAGTCGCCATCAGTCAGAAGAAAAAAAAATGGCATAGGAATGCATAGCTGGATTGCTATAGGCTATTTCAATTTGCAATATCTAATAGCAAGCTGGCTATTGCACCCGCCCACTGCTGCTGTCAATCACTAGAAGAGGACCTGATGGAGAACTTCAGGTCCCCCACTGCTGATTGACAGCAGCAGTGGGCGGGTGCAATAGCTAGTTTGTTATTGGCTATTGCAAAGTGAAATAGCCAATAGAAATCTAGCTATGCATTCCTATGCCATTTTTTTCTTTTCTGACTGAGGGCGGCCGGCGGCTCTGATGTCAGAAAAAAAAAACCCAGAGCAGGGAAAGGTTTACTCTGAGTAAAGCTTCCTGGGAGAAAGTGTTTCTCTCCCGGACGGCAGGAGAGCCGCTAACAAATAGCGGGAGACTCCCGGAGAGTTAGGACAGTTGGGATGTCTGCAATTACAAGTTTTACAGATTAGAATAGAAAAACAAAAACACATTTCTGATGGTTTTAGGCGACCCCTGGCCAATCGTCATTCCACCCCCGATGGGGTCGCGACCCACAGGTTGAGAACCGCTGATCTAGTGGCCATAATGTTTTATTACAGCACTACATTCAAACTGCAGGAAAATATATTCAAAACATTTGCTTTTGGCATTATTCACCCAAAGGGAACATTCACCGATATTTAAAGGGTGAAAGGGCCTGCCAATTGTTTATAAATAGACTGTATAGCGTAGTGGACTTTTCTATACTAGTCTTCAGATAAAGCCAGGTACTGAATGGACTGAGGAAAGGACTTTTCTATACTAGTCTTCAGATAAAGCCAGGTACTGAATGGACTGAGGAAAGGACTTTTCTATACTAGTCTTCAGAGATAGTCAGGTCCTGAATGGACTGAGGAAAGGACTTTTCTATACTAGTCTTCAGAGATAGTCAGGTCCTGAATGGACTGAGGAAAGGACTTTTCTATACTAGTCTTCAGATAAAGCCAGGTACTGAATGGACTGAGGAAAGGACTTTTCTATACTAGTCTTCAGATAAAGCCAGGTACTGAATGGACTGAGGAAAGGACTTTTCTATACTAGTCTTCAGAGATAGTCAGGACCTGAATGGACTGAAGAAAGGGATTTCCTATTATAATATGACTGGATCAGGAGAGTCGGTGACCAGTTCTTCCTTTGTTATTGGCAGTTACAATAAGCCTGGCTTGCTATTCCTAATACAGGAAAGTCCCTTTGTTCTCCTGAGTCCCCTCAGTAACATTGTTTTATTACCTGCTGATGCTGCCAGAAGATCTGTTATGTTTCCACTTTCTTTAGCAGGCCAAGCTGTCCAGCAAAACTTTATGGGTTGGCTCAGCTTGGCTAAGTGCTTGACTACCCAAACCTTTTGACCTAAACCACACCCCCAGTAGTAAATCCCTCCCACACGCTTAGTGACCAGTCAGGGTGCTCTTATTGGGCAGACAATGGGGGCATAGCTGGTATGGCTAATGGTAAGTCAGATAAATCAAGCTTTTAGTAAGAAAGTGAAACCAGATCAGAGAGGCACACAGATGAGGCTCAAGTTTCAAATTCCTAAAATGCCCGACAGGTTCATTTAAAGCCTTGCTATTGGTCTGTCTAAACCACACCCTATTAACTGCATTCACATAAATGTTCCTAGACCCTGGCCCCCCTTGGCTCCAATTTTTTAATAAGTCAGTTTCAATGACTTCACTCACTTTATTCCATAGCTCATGATGATCAGTCCGATCAGAATCCCGACAGTCCCATCCAGATACCAGACGGTGTCGTGGTGCTTGTAAACCTCGGCGCTGATCAAAATGGAGAACCCCATGATGCCGCCAACCAGCGAGTTGAACCCTACAAAGACATGAACATTCTAAATGTGATATGATGTCATACAACAGTGTAGCCACATGGGCAGCTCTTGTTCATGTAACGTATTATTTTCATGGTAAGCACATGTATGCTGCGTATTGCGTATGTGTATCACTTCCAGGTATTTATTACCTGCAACCCGCTGTTCTTTTTCTTTAATGCAGTGGTGTTGTGTGTGCCTGTGTCTCAATGTAGACACTACAAGTCCCATCTGCTACAGTGGCAGATGGAATCATAGATCTCAATGGAGCACAAGTGTTGTGGTGTCACCAATGTTTATTTCCTCAAGTCCTGCAACCGAAGATCCGCACCTCCATGCAGACCGGGGGCTGGAGGAACAGTCCCCAGGGAGCCGCAGGTGCTGCATACAGACTCTCATAAAAGTCAGTGGATGTATACACCAATAATTGCATACAACTGCATATGTAAATCCCTGGACGCAGGTTTTCTGTTTTATGCCTGCGCACATACACGGCTGCTCATAAGCATACAGCCATTGACTGCTATGGCAGGCTGTGCACCGCTCTTGCAGCTCCCCGGGGG